TCAAAAAAAAAAAACAAAAAAAACCCCACAATGTCTAAATGTATGTATGGTCTTTGTTTGGATCCTGATTCAAACAAAGCAATTGTAAAAAGACAGTTTGACAAAATTGGGGACATTTTGATTATGGACTTAGTTTTGTTAAGCATGATAATGGCATCGTGGTTATGTTAGAAAATCTTCACAAATTTTGAAAGATGCCTGCCAAGCATGTATAGGTAAAATAACTATAAAAATCTGCTTTAAAAGGCTTTAGCAGGGTAAACCCCTTGGGTCCCCTCCCACTGTGGGAGTTTTTCTGTCCTTTCAATAAATGCTTAAAAAAAAAAAAAGAAGAGAAGAAAATGAAAGAAAAAACAGATGGGTGAGATAAATGTAACAAAAAGGTGATGCTGCTGTGCTCAAAGAGAATGCACCCTTTTGCCATAAAACATATTGCCAGGCTGCATTCAAACCTGTTGTCTTGATTTACTAGACAACGTCTGAGACTGCTGATTTCACCCAAACCCTCCTACCTCCATGGACATTATTTTTTTCCAAAATTAATCAACATGACAACGGTAAACTGCTATATCACTGGACTTTCTGTTAGTGCTTTTCAATGGACTTAAATGACCAGTTTTCACATGTTTATTGACCATTTTAATTTTGTTGGTGGGGGGGCGGGAAGAGGGAGCCTGCCCAAGTTTCTTTTTAAAAATTAAGTATTTCTGTTTTTCTAAGTTATCTATTAGCAAGATGTATTTGTGTAGTCAATTTCTGTCAACCAATATGCTGCAAAGATTTTCCCAGTTCGTCGTATATCTTTCAACTTGGTTTTTGCGCTTTTTTTCGAACAAATTGACGGAGATCTGTCGTTTTCTGGCTTGGCTGTAGTACTAAGAAACTTGATTCCAGTCTTCAGGATTCTACGAAGTATTTTTCCCTTCAGACGGTTTTAGGGTTTCATTTGTTGCATTTTACATCTTTAATCTACCTGGAATGTATTTATGTTCTAGGTCAGTTTCTGGCTCCTCGCCCCGAAAACCACCGTCAGGCGTTGCTTGGCAACCTCTCCACTCAGGCTGGAGTCCGACTTCTTTTCAAGGGGGAAAGCCGAGCCCTCCCTCCCAAGTTGACAGCAACCTGAGAGCGTTGCCTAGTAACCGCGTGGCGGACGCTGTGATTGGACCCTTCACCCGCCCCTCCCCCACCCTCGCGCACCAGCAAGAACAGAGCGAGAAATTTAATCTGTTAGAAAACCAGGGCAGCGTGCGCGTTGCCTAGCAACCAGGTCTCCGGCCCTCTCTCCCCCCGGCAGGGTTGCAGAGTCGGAAACAGGCGCCCCGCTCAAAGATGGCGGCCGACAGGACCGCTTTTCATTGATTTCGCTCTTGACATATCTGAGGCGGATTTAGTATTCCCCATCAGGCCTCCGAAGGGGCTCGCCGTGTCCTTTCGGGGCCTCCCACGCGGTGGGCGTGAGGGAGGATGGAGACGGAGCAACCGCTCGGTGCGGGCCCCGCATGAACATGGCGGCCGGCGCGTCCGCAGCGGCACGTCGCCGCCCGGCGCGGG